ACGGCCTCAAGACCGGCACCAGACCGTTATTTCTGCTGGGTTTCTGGGAATCGCTTGCCTTGACAAAAAGTGCAACTTGCGTGCTACGGACCTCTGCAGTGGTGGGCAATATTTCCACGAACGTTAGCGTCTCCCATCGGGACGTTATACAAAGCCAGCGTACCGGCGACGCGTCTTACCGATTCACGGGGTGTTGCGTTTTGAACGTACTTTTCATCATTGGACGGATGTCGTCACGGAACTTTTTGCACCGACGCTGACATTGTTTAATAATTACTCACTGCAGTGGCCGGTGGAACGACTCTGAGGGACGGACAGAGAGCGTGGCCAACGCACATATTCCGCTCAGTTCGATCCCATGAACAGTTATGACCGGGTGGTCGGTGCGAGGTGGGGGCACTTTGGTGGCGCCTGCCCGTGCCGGTCTCCGAGTGTTACCTCATAACCCGGCTGCCGGCGCCCATGACGCACGGTGGCGGCGTGCTCTGGGGTGCACGCATATCGATTGCTGCCGCGCCGCCCGACAGCCGGGTGCGGCGGCGCCGGCACGCGGCCTCCTCCGCCGCGACGCTCGTCAGCAGGGGCGGCTCGGGGCAAGCGTGCCATACGATCTGGCCAGCGGCGCTCCGTGCGTCGCGCCATCGAGCTAGCGCTCCAGCCGCCGCTGGAGTCCGGCTCGCCCGTCGCCGAGCAGGACGGGTTACCGCCTGCGCGGCATTGCCAGACGCTCAGCAGACTGCTCTGATTGCATAGGTTGTCTGTACCTGTGCGCTGTGCGGCGAAAGGTTCATAGCACGGCCTTTGTGAACTTGCGCACAAGTGTGCAAACATGAATATTGCGAGGGGTTACGGCACGCATCTATGGGTGGCTGCGAAACGTTTGTTGACGGCTAGTTTGCTTAAATGTCGTATGCTATAGGCATGTGGTCGGCTTTTTAACCCATCTAAGGTAAAGGGGAGGTCCACATGCCTCGGGCCTCGTAGAAGTTTTGTTATGCGTGGCCTGTCTGCCACCATTTGGGCATGTTCACGATTACATTTTCAATTCAGCCATCACCATTCATTTTTACTAGCCATGAAACATTGTTTATGATGAACGCCTCTCAACGTTCGTCAGAATGGGCTTTTGAGTTTGAAATGCTACATACAATGTCTTTGAGATGGTGTAGGATGTAGCTAGTTTACAGTGATACGCAGTCTCAAACAGCAGGCCTGTTTTGAAGCAGTTTTCTTGTTAGTTACGGGCGTTTAGTGTTTCCAAGAACAGTTCACGTACTTAACACAGATGCTGGTCTACTGGCACGAGATTTCTGTGTCCTCAAGCATTGTCTGTCCATCTTTACGTCTGCGTACCTGTGCTCGAATGCCGGAGAAAATCATTCAGCACACTTCCCAGCTAACGGTAGAAGTACGTTTGGTTCGATCTATGGCTCGTTAAAGCAGAATCAACAACAGAATTCACGACGTGCGTGGATTGATTGGTACATGGCCGGTGTGTTTGTATAGCGCGCATTGGGTCGGCGGGCGTTCCGCGGCGCCTGCACCGCTCGCCGCTCGGTGGCGCCGCGTCCCTTGGCGCTGTGTCAGCGCCCCGGCGGTCGACCAGCGCCGACACGCACACGCGGTGAATCGGTACACCCGGCACGCCCGATATACGGCCTCCGAGGGGCGGCAATCTGCCAAATGGGTCGCCAAAAGAGGGTGCTGCCGGCGTGCGTTGCTCGTTCACCCGATGCGTCGCCGCGTCGCGGCCGGCTGTGCCCGCGTTGGCCCGAAGTGCGCGCGAGCCTCGCCGCCAGGCCGCGTGCCGCAAGCGGTGCTTCACCCCGTGTTGGCCGTGGCGTGTTGCCATGCACCTGGCCCGGGGGTGAGTCGTGAGCACGAGCGGACATCGCCTCGGACCGACGGCGCATCGCCACACGCTGGCCTTGTTGGAAACCGGTTCCTCTCATAAAAATGCTCCATCCGATCGTTGACATCGGCCGAGAGAGGGCATTTAACGGGCGAAGCCCCGACGCGGGTGGACGGCACGCTGCGGCGGCAGCGTGGTCCCGCGGCCTGGCCACGGGTCGACGACGATCGAGCCTGTATGTCAGGAAGCCGCCGAGCGGCCCACTGATCCCATTTTGTCGGCTGGGGCGGCCGAGACTGTCCCCCGCTCGTCGTCGCGCGGCATCGATTTATCGGGCCCACGCCCCGCCCTCGCCATCGACGTGAACGTGCCGTGTATCGGCTATCAATCTGGCCGAACTGTGCTCCGAGTTATATACTGCCGCCATGTCAGGCCCTACGCCTGCATCGCGTTATGCTGCGACGGCGCTTTCCCTTCTCGCCGCGTCCTCCCGCTTATTAAATCCAGGAAACAGTTTCCTCTTAAAGTTTTCGCTCCGTCAGCAAACACCGGACAGCTGTGACGCTCCGCCACAGCAGGGAAAAGTGCTGTTGGCACCACTCGGCGCGGATGACCGTATATCTACCGGCCGGATGTCGATGTGCTCCACGATTTCCCATCGGACCCACTGCATAACAGATAGCCGGTCCCGCCTAATTTAACAGCTCGTTCCGCAGTGACAGGGTGCGGGACATCACGCTCCACAGTGGAAACTCACGTCAGGTTCCCGACCTGCGTTCGGCATATGCGGACCGGGTCGCGTCGTGGTGCGTGCTCGCTGCTGCCTGCGCCGTGGACGCGCTCTCGACTGACATCGACGCCCCGGGCCCCTCGCCGCCGCACTAGATCACTCCGTCCGGCCTTATTTGTGGACGCTCGCGGAAACGGCCCCATCAGCTGATCTGGCCTCCCCTCGCCACCGTTCAGCTGATTTCGGCAATAGCCTGAACAGAATTTTCCTACAGCTGATCGTCCAGCCTGATACGTTGGTGTGGCCAACGGCTCCCCAGCTATTACAAAATTAATTGCGAGCTGTAGGGATGGATCCAAAATTAAGCGGAGCGTTCGTGGTGGCTTAGTTACAGCTGGTGTCGTTATGGGAATCACCATTGGTAGCGGATAGTTTGTTTACAAACTGCTCTGAACGGTTTTCAGTTAACGGCAGTCGTTGATTGCTAACATAAATTTTCGAATGCAATTTCCTGTTTCTATCAAAGCTGGGAGCCAGAACTTTGGCTTTGATGACTATTTCGGGCGCGGATCTTTTCCTACGAAGGGAAAGTCCAGTTGTGACTGGGGACGTGTAAATCGGAGGCTCGTTAATCGAGTATCGTACCCGTAAATAATACTTATTTTCCCTCTGTCAACAAAGTACGCAGCATGTGCTTGCGTCGCGCGTGTGAGGAAGATTGGTTGATCGACGCGTTTTGAGGAGTCAGTATGCCATTTTTCCCGCAACGTCATTCGCATTGTGCCGTGGCCGGTGTGCCGCCGCCATGGATTCTCCTGCGTCGATCCGTCCTCAGTCTGCTACTGCCAGCCCCATTCTGCAGTCCTGCCGCGATGTCCCCGTCCTTGCATCCTTGCGGCGGTCCCGAACCCCAGTCTTCTGCTCCGGCCCCGTCCTGTTCTCCCGCGGCAGTCCCATGCTCCGGCCCTACCGTGGCGGCCGGGTCCCGTGGTGCTGCCGCGGCGACACTCCTCCAGAGCTCTGCCGCGGCGAGCTGACCTCTGATTGTGCGGCCGGTGCGGGGCCCGAGGCCACACCGCTGGCCAGCTCTGGCGTGCGGCGCCAGCCGACGCTGCAGCCGAGCGTGCTGAGTTCCGGCGCCGGGACGCGCAGCCGGCCGGCCGGAACGGAGTGTGCCGCTCGGGCACGCCCCTGTCGAGACTGTCAACACAGCTGCGGCTGTTGCCGGCTCCGGATCGGGCTACCCTTCGTGCCATTGTAGTTCGGGTTGATGGGAGTTATGACGGTGTTTACAAGGGAACACCAGTTCGCCCAAATAGCATGTGAGGCAGGCGTATTGTTGATCGTATTGTTTACGTTGCCGTAACCCGATCTGGGGGCGTTGAGTGTGCAAAAACCAGGCCCTGTTGTGGTAACGGCGCCGTAGGACCCTCCCTATCCGATGCGAGTAATGAATTACGTGAGGGTAGCAGGTTCGTCCCCATTTTGCTCTACGACAACGATTTCGTAGTCCGTTGGTTATGAGCTTTTACACGGCGCCTTTCCCCTTCACGTTTTGTTTTTTGGTGAGTCTTTAGGGTTCGTCGCATGCACCTATTTGCGATGACGTCTTTACTGCAATCGTAAAGGCTGGGTAAAAACACGCTTTATGAAATAGCTCGCCTCATCTGTATGCTGCGTACATTTCAAGACCTGCGAAGCCGAGTTCGGTTACGCGTTTGTCGATAGTACTTGGTTTGCATGGTAGCTCCTTTTATCGATAGCGTCAATCGGATGTAAAAGTGAAGCTGTTATCCCCGTTTGTCCAGAGCATAGAAGCCCCCACTGCATCGTCGGAGTTTGGGAAAATCATCGAATGCAATTTCCGTCTTTTTGCGCGAATCCATTTTGTGTTATTTTCCGTGATTTCCAGTCGATCTGGGTCCTGAGATTTTCGGGAAATCCAATTTGTAAAATGGGTCAGGGAAAAAAACGGCGGGATCCAGCCTGCGCTGTTGGGCGGCCCAGGTTCGCCTGAGCTTCGAAATTGTGCAGGCTTACGCTCTCCTTCCGACTAGTCCGGGAATTCGTTGTGGATTGCAAGCGGCTCAGGGGCTAAGTCGTGCCTCTCGGAGTGGACGAGGCAGCCAGGCCACCGGGCGCCAGCCGCGCCGCCGGAACGACCGTCCTCCAGCAAAAAAAGAAAAAAATCGTCTGCCGTCGGCCCAGGCGCAGCTGGAGCAGAAATAGCCTCGCGCCGGGTCGATACACAACGCCGGCTCGGCTGCCCGACCGCCCGTCCCTGCGGCGCTTAATTAACGGCCACTGTGCGATATTCACAGCTGTAATGGGCTGCGACCGAGCCGCGTGGCGGCATAAGATTGTGCCACGCTGTGAAGCGACGCCGCCGTTGACGCCTGTCCATGCTGTCCGTTTCAGGAGAGGAATGGCTTCTGCCCGATGAACGGCGCCAGCCCGCTGGACAGCATGCGCACCCTCGAGCACTACCTGAACGACATCGTGCGAGGATCCGGCGACCCCAGTAAGTGGCCCGGCCCCAGGTCTGTATAACACTGATCCGGTCCTGACTGCCTGCGAGCTCGCACGATTATGCTGTTATCTTCCTTCCTTTCTAAAGTGCACGCGGCTCGAACTGTGGACCCCCAGCTCTGAGATGGAAGTGTGTCCATGCAGGCGGGCAGAGAGTGCGTGGATTGTTCGTGTTCCGGAGACGGGCCCGTGTTCAGCGCGCCGTTGTTCGTCCAGCTCCTAGGCTGAGTTAGTGTCCGGCGGGCGTTGATTTCTGTACTGGAGGAGGCAGATCGTGACCTGGTCGTCCGCGTGCGTCGCTCGCGGCGAGGCGGCCGCACCGGTTGTGATCGCGACTCCTCGGCGGGATCTCGCCATCCGGAGCCCGTGACGCACGCGGCGCCGCCAGGCATTTGGGGACAGCTGCCAGCACAAACGGCAGCCGACGACGCGAATAGAAGCGGGCGGGTCCGAACTGTCGCGTGACAAATGTCGTCTCCAGCGAGCGGCTCCGCTAGCGTTTCGTGTTCCTTCCAGGGATCTTTCATCCGGCTTGTCGCTGACCGTTTTATCCTAACATGTCGTCACTGTCGTGTTTTGTTCGTAGAAGTCCGAGGACCATTTAGCTGGCACTCGATTCACGGCAGTAAAAATCGTACACGATTTTTGGGCGAAGGAATCTGCACCACCCATTGTTCTAACATGCATCTCTTCATGCACGATTGTGTGAAACTAAGCTCCGCTTTAGGTCTGCCATCTGGCTGCATCAGAGGCCCATTGGCGAACGCGTCTGGGATGACATCCCTTCGCCCCCACCACCACGACCACAACCAAAAGGGTCATTGAACACGGAGAGCAGCGAACGCTGTTCAATTATGAACTCATCCTCAGCTGATGTCCACCGCTTGAAAAGTTAACGAAGGGGAGCTACGTGTCGCCCCCTCCCCATCCCCCTCTTTTCCCTCGAGCCGGCGGTGCGGTGTTCCATTTCGTATTAATTACTTGGCATGTTGAAGTTTGACCATTCTTTCGGTTCGCTTCACCGTCGATGTCTCGTTGCTGCGTCGGCGGGAGATTGGAAGCATTACGGGCTTCGCTCATTGAGTTTGTCTGCCATCCATGCCATGCATCATGAATGTGCTATGCATGCACGATGATTGCAGATCCTTGTGTGCAATCGGATCTTCTGTGACATAGATAGGATATGCTGTTGAACCTCGCGCGCGTTATCTAAGTGCCGCCAAATAGGTGATGTCGTCAGTATTGAGGGCTCGACCTATGACTTGACATTCCAAGCACGGTGCATCCGCACTGAGCAGCGTTGGATGGCCTCCAGCCACCGCGCGTGTCCGCACCGAACTGTGAATGCCACGTCTGCCAGCGGCGGACGCCCTCTGCCCGGTGACGCTCATCACTCGCGAAGCCACCCAAGCTTGCGCCAGCGGCGAAGCCCCGGGCGCGCGGGCCGATTGGCACGATCTTGGCGCTGGCCGGCGGGGTCGCGTCGTTAGCGGCCACCGACGCCGCGCTCGCTCGATAATAGCCCCCGGGGATGTCAGGCCGACCGGCCGGCAAACAGGCCCGTCTCCATCTACCCCACCCCACCCCACCCCCACCCCACCCCGTCCCATCCCGTTCCCGTTCCCGTCCTCGTCCTCGTCCTCGTCCTCGTCCTCGTCCTCGTCCTCGTCCTCGTCCTCGTCCTCGTCCCCGTCCCCGTCCCCGTCCCCGTCCCCGTCCCCGTCCCCGTCCCGTCCTGTCCTGCAGTGGCACACGGGATGTGCCGGCGCCTCGTGCTCGGCGTCTGGCGTGACGACAGGGCGCTTTGTACGCGCCGCAGTCCGATCGTTCCTCCTCTGATCCCCCTCTGAGGACATCTCATCATTGGTGACGCGGTCCAGCAAAAACGGACTGCCGGCTGACTGACCGTCTGCGTGGGCGTGCCTCCGGCGGCCGGCGGCGGGGCCGGTTCGGATGCGGATGCCGCGTCCGGGCCGACCCCTCCAGCGGAGCGGGGGGAGCGCGGCGGGCCGCGGGCCGCGGGCCGCGCGCAAGGTGCGTTGACCCTCCTCTGCACTGGGACGGACGCCGAACACCCGGCGGGGAACAATCAATAGGTGGGGTTTTTATGCTCGCGTGCCGGCCGACGAGCTTTCACCGTGCGGCACAGCCGCTGGCAAACGGTGCCGCCCGCTAGCGATGTACTGTCGAGAGTGGGCGTGACGTGTCGCCGGCGGGTACGGGACCGGGCCGGCTCGTCGCCGAGCGGCACAGTAGATCAGATTGCCTTGTTTCTGAAACCAGCAGTCGCCTACGAAACGGGAAAGAGCGTGCTGTTTGTCCCGGTTGATTGTGAAGGTGGAAACCTGTGCATTTTGACTGGCTTTAGATGATTGGGATCAGTGGTTGTTCGTCATGCTCATTCCTTCTATCCGTTTCAGTTAAGGCGAATGTGTTAACCTGTAAAGGACATTCAGAAAGGGTTATGGAGGCGTGAAATAGTCCTGCTGTATGCCTTTCTAGAAAAAGCTGGAAATATGTAGATTTTCGCTTAAAGTCGGCTTAGCCCCGTTTGGTCATGCCACATAAGTCGCCCATCATGCACAGTTGTGTCACACTTCTACGGGGCGTTGATCTCCCAGAGCTTGTATATTCTGACCAATGCCAATACTAGCGTGGCACGGTTATGTTTTGTGTCGTCAGCGTAGGTGTTAGTACGTGCTAGCAATAAAGTCGGATAAAGCAGACCCAGGGCTAATTGCATGCAAGCAGAGGAAAGTGCGCGTCTTGGGACTGACTAGAACGGTCATGCAAAGGAAGGTTGTCTTATTTTAGGTTGATTGAAGGAGTTGGAAATTTTGATTTCAAACTGGTGCTGTGGGCGGCGAGTACGCATCGATCGCGTTTATATAATGGCGGGTTTTGATCCCAGAACTACGGTCGAAGATAAAGCGCAGACTTAATATTTCAGGAGTGTGAATTTATTTCAGGACTTTGAACACAGCTGGGGTTGGATAGCTGCGTTTTTTGAAATCACAGTATTATACTCGCTTTTTGGGAAAGCAGCATAGGAAAACCGCTTTTAGACCAAGGCCCTAAAAACGCAATCGTGTGTTGAGAGCGTCATACTCATTTCGGGTTCGCAATGTAACATCTTGTCCTTGAACAGCGCTTTGGTGCGAATCAGTTGATATCACGATAAACTGGACAACAATGAAGCTCATCGTGATGTTAAGGGAAGGCGCCTTAGTGTTGGTTGCCTTCTTCGATTGTTCAGTGACAGTGATATAGGATAAGTACAGATTCGGTAACCAACCGAGTATGTTGTTTTTGTCTATTCTCTTTACGGAACGAATGTGTTCTCGGGCTTGGACATTGTACTACGCTGTGCAACGTTTTTAAACCCTTAAGTGTCTTTTCAAGCCATTCATCTCTGTTTTCTAACCATTTCCCCCTCCCCCCCCCACCCCCTTTCCTCCTACAATGCAAATATTCACCTTAGCAACATACCCCTTAAAATTGTTGTGTTGTTCCCTTCCGTGATTCCCGACTCCCTTTCCAATGTCATGGTGTGAAGTTTCGTCTTGTGCTTCGTTGACATGTGCAAAATCACATATATCCATACTGCTGAGGAAAGCCGTAGCATAAGAGCAAGCGTGACTGACGTTGTTTTTTGCGCCTTCCGGCCCCGCACCGCGTCCAACTTTTAGGGCATTCTGATAGTCCTGCGCCGAAGCACTGCCAGCAAATGAATACCTTCGGTGCTATGCAGCCAGGAAGGTACCAACCCGGAATTGCCAATTGGCCAGCTCAGTGCTGGTGAGTTGTTGAATTTGTGACTGGTGGGAGCATTGATGTATGCCGCGCACGTATTTGCTGACATTTGGAAGATTTGTGGATGCAAATTTTAAATTTCCCGTGTGTTATTTAAGAAGCCATGCCAAGTTTCTAAATCGCCTGGTCATGCTTGACGGCTGGTCGCCGTCTTGTAGCACGTTTGGTGAAATGAATGCTTGGTCGTCGCACGCATGATGCCGCACAACGTGACGCGGGGCTACGCAACTCACTCAGTTCACATGTGTGATCGCCGCGAGCTCACATTTCAGCAGCTCATACCGGAGGGCCCGGCTCCCCACGCGTGAACACGCTGCTTCCCTAGTAACTGGCTCTTAGGATACGGCACCGGGTTGCGTGGGTAAATGCCTGTAAACAATCTGACATTTCTATTGGTAAAAAATTATGTGGAATATGATTTGGCCGCGGAGAGTATCCTGCGAGCGAAGGTTGCAAAAGATCTATCAACATATTAATGATCTATGTGCCTTGGCTGGTTGTTTCGATAGGTTGCAAAGTAGTTGAACCCAGCAGCTAAAACACTAAAACGTACAGCATGTTATAGACGTGTAGAGATCCTCATGTTCTACACCTGGCTGTTGGCGGTGCATTCACGGTATTGTGCGTTTATGTTGAACTTTATCGCGATGTTTCGTCTCGGGCGGTACCGTCAGAACCCACATCTGAGTTATAAAAGAACTACAGCAAACCACACCGCTAGTGAAACCTAATCCATTAAAAAATAGACGAGTACACGACCGTCTATTTAGTATGGGTCTGCGTCGGCGGTGCTCTCCACGGCAGGCGGTGACTGGAGCTCCGCTTCCCGGCTTACAGCGAAGATCCGCCGGTCCGTTTGCGCTAGCGCTGCGGTGTTTTTGTCGCAGGCGGCTGGCGTTGTGCCTGCGTGACCGGTCGTGGTGCAACGCTCGTCATTGTCAAGGCCACGCGGGGCGGCGCCGCGTCGGCCGTGGGCGAGCCGGGCGCGGGCGGCGGACGCCGTGGCGCCGCCCGCGCCGCGCCCGGCCTCGCACTGCGCCGTGACACGGACCAGCCTGCGGCGCGGCCGCGACCCGGTGACGCGTCGCCCGCGGCGATATTTGTGTACAAAAGACGCCGCATCCGCGGTCGGGTCAATACGAGCCATCTATTGTCTGGCGCCTTGGCACACATCGATCC